ATGTATGTTTAAAAAACAAGACCCGGAAGCGACCCGGTCATATGATTGGGTCACGGGTCAATCTGGATGCAGTGGGTCAATCTGGTCAATGTCGGAAAAACCGGTCAACGTTTATATGTCCATATAATAATAATAAACATATAATTATATACAAAATTATAATAAAAATGATTATTATCCATAATATTCATAATAATCAACTAAGGATAATACTTCCTCCGTATCTAATTAGTTCACACATTTGCTTTTCACAAAGTGTAAGACAATTATTGTAGACTTTATAAAAATAAGAGGTTTTTGATACTGTAATGGTACTATAGTGGTACTGTAGTTGCTTTTTGAGTAGGATTCTTTTCAAATAAGGAAATGAAACAATTAACTTGATACATCAAAAAAGAAAGTGTGTCATTTAAATAGATACGGAGGGAGTACTTATTAATAAGCATTTAATACACTCTCATAATATTTCAAAGTATAATTTGATCATATTAAAAAATATAATGATATTTTTTATTTGTATTGTACATATATAATATAATTTGGCATGACTTTTATTCCTAAGTAAATATATAAATACATTACATAGTCTTTCTTTTTACGATATTGAAATTGCAATTTTATGGGTTTAAAAAATGCATTAAAATATAAAAAAGATTTTTTTAGAAAAAACACCCAAAACCGGATAATAGAGTATTAATCTTAGAGAGAAGTAAGAGCTAGATAGAGAAAGTGAGCAATTAATATTTCTCAACCCCCTACAATTACCCCTATGGGAGTATTTATAGGGGAAATATGGAATTGGTCTCGCAGGTCCCAGTACAAAATAAGGTCTCTAATGAGCTGAATACATGATTTATTTGACTAAGTATAAAATGTATTCTTTCAGAGTCCTTTTGGCCGACGGAGGACCAAACAGATGGAGGGTCTGGCCGACGGAGGACCATGTTCTGCCCCTGGGCGTCTGGACCATATTTTGAGTGGATAGGTGTTCGGCCGACGGAGGTCCACTCTTTTGCTCATGACCTTCTGGGATGTATTCTGAGACCCATTGAGTTTGGCCGATGGAGGGCCATCTGGCCACAGAAAGACCACGTGAGTGCCCGTTATCTTTGTGTTCAGCCTTCTGAGTATGGGGATCATGGGGTCTGGCCCCACATACTCTATCAGGAGTCCAACGCTCTCTGAGCTGAGATGTAGACGAAGTGAAAGGGAGTAGATCATTGTTGCTTTGATGTTCGTTGGCCGATGAGGGACCACCTGTGATTGATATTTCGTTACTTGCTCATTTCCTGTGTTTGGCCGTAGTGTGGTATGTTGGCTTCTTTGGACGTAGATACTTGATATTTGATGATTGTTTATTGCTTTTGAAGCGGACATAGATCCCTTGTCTTTGTTCTTGTGGATGATGAATGTCACTGTTCTGAGGACGATGCGTGTTTCCAAATCTTTAGGACGGCTCTCAATGAAAACACCAAATGATAAAGTATTAATCTTAGAGAGAAGAGAGAGTTAGAGAGAGAAAGTGAGCAATTAATATTTATCACCCCCTACAACTACCCCCTATGGGGGTATTTATAGGGAAAATATGGTTTTGGGCTCCCAGTTATTGGGTCTGGGAGGCCCGGTACAAAATAAGGTCTCTAATGGGCTGAATACATGATTTATTTGACTAAGTATAAAATCTATTTTGTTGGAGTCTTTTGGCCGAGGGAGGTCGTGACCGATGGAGGGCCTGGCCGACGGAGGACCAAGTTCTACCCCTGGGCTTCTGAGTTGATAGGTGTTAGGTCGACGGAGGGCCATCTACCCGATGGAGGCCCACTCTTTTGCTCCGGAGGCCCATCTAGCCGATGGAGGCCCACTCTTTTGCTCCTGGGCTTCTCGACTGTATTCTGAGACCCATTGAGTTTGGTCGATGGAGGGCCATCTTGCTGAAGAAGGACCACGTGGGTCCCAACTGTCTTTGTGTTCAGTCTTTCTGATTATGCGGGCCATGGGATATGGGCCCATATACTCTACCACCGGGGTTTCTAGGGGTTTTCAGGGTTTTTGGGTTCGCGTCCGGACCGGGTTTTCCCGGGTCAATTGGTTTTTTCCAGGTTTTTACCATTTTGCTGGGTTCCGGGTTGACTCGGCCGAGTCGGGTTGGTTTTTTAAACATAGTATTTTACTTGTGTTTTTTTATTGGTGAATGTGGTAATTAACTACTTATTAGTGGGTGTGGACGTGTGGTAACTAGGGATGACCATATCGGTTTTTGGTTAGATTTTTTCGGTTTCGGTTCAGTTCGGTTTGGAATGAGTTGGGAGAATTATTACCAAACAAAAATCTTACTCCTCCGTCCCTTTTAAGTCCCACTAACTTTGCCCCTTTCTCTTTTAAGTAAAGAATTTGTGGTTCCAGTTAACTCTCTCTCCTCTGCAAAAATCTCAACCACACAGTTTTTATTTTATTAATCCACGTGCCGGTCAATTCAAACTTGGCAAAGTTTTAAGGACGGAGGGAGTACTATTTTTTGTTTGGTTTAGTTTGATTTAGTTCGGTTTGGTTCGATTTGGAATTGTTACTTTTTAATAATATATGAAGGTTTTATTGAATTTTTTTAGTTTGGTTCGATTTTATTCGGTTTTTAGGTTTCGGTTCCGTTCGGTTTAATACTGCATTAAGTATAAGGTACAAATTAACCTCAATTAAATTCTCAAACATTACTGATTTCACCCCGAACACGTGTAGAAATTGATATGATCATATCATGTTGTATTTAGTTCCGTTTAAAGCGTTTCTATCTATTTAATTGTATGAAATGTGCATTCATACATTTACCCTATCAGTTATATTTTCATTAACATGAGTTAAGTTTATCCTATTAATATTAGTTACATTCTCATTTTGTCAACTTTAATATTTGTTACATTTTCATTTTATATTGTTTGTTACATTCTCAAATTATATTATTATCATTTTAGTTACATTTGAAATTGTTACTATCAACTTTAATAGTAGTTGCATTTATATTGCATTTACTATACTTGTTACATTATCATATTAATTCAGCATACGTAGTATTTGTTAGATATTAATATTAACCATATTGATGTTTTTAGATTAAAGTAGTTGCATTTTAGTTAATTTTTCTATACTTCAGTACATAGACCCTTCCCTGAAGTCTTCAGGGGAGGATCTATGTACAGGCTATGGTGGGCTGAAGCCTAGAACAACTTAAAAATTTTCAATTTTTAGTGTTATTGTTTTTTTCACATTTAGCCTACCCTGATAATATTTAAGAGTAGTATAATTACTATCCAGCCCAGGGCATCCCAAATTTCTGGATCCGCCCCTGTTATACTTGTCACATTATCATATTAATTAACCATATTTGTTAGATATTAATATTAACCATATAAAAATTGTTAGATTAAACTATTAAAATAGTTGCATTTTAGTTAATTTTACCATACTTGTCACATTATCATATTAATTAACCATATTTGTTAGATATTAATATTAACAATATAAAAGTTGTTAGATTAAACTATTAAAGTAGTTGCATTTTCGTTATTTTTACTATACTTGTCACATTATCGTATTAATCAACCATATTTGTTAGATATTAATATTAACCATATAAAAGTTGTTAAATTAAACTATTAAAGTTGTGATGTTTTAGTTACATAAAAATATTTTTTGCATTTTATTTGTACTCACAATTCAATATTTGTTAGACTTGTATATTAGTCATATTTTTTTATATAAAAGTCACATTTTAGTTAAATTATCATATTACTTACATTTTAATATTAAAGTCACATTTTAATTGTACTTACATTTAAGTATTTGTTACAAATTACTGACATTTTGGTTACATTAAACACACGATTTCTTACATAAAGCAACATTTTAGTTACATTTATATGTTACTTGCATGATAATTGTACTCACATTTAAGTATTTGTTACATATTAACATTTCTTACATTTTAACATGAACGATGGTAGACATTGTGTAGATATGGATAACTTTCGATGCAATAGAAAGAAGATTGCGAAAGGACATCCTAGTTCGTGAGGCAAAGGATATGTAAGGTCTTCTTTCTAAAGCTGAGATGATTTTGACACGACTTACAATCGGAGAGATGCGATGTCCGAATAGCAACTTGATCAACTGTTGGTTCAAGGACATGAGGCGCTTTTACCAACAAGAAGATATTCCCAAATTATCAAAGAGCTAGAGGATGACGACGATAAAGAGAAGGAGCGGCGATACCCCCAAAGAGGACGAGCCTATTTCCTTAGATTTAAAGTTCATTTTCTTGATTTTTTAAAAGAAGTTGCTAACTATGTTATAAATCCTGTTGAGATCGACACTGGAAAAAAATTGTCAAGTTTTGGTTTTTTTAATAACGCAACTTTAACTTTTAGTCATGTTTATAAATCTACGACAAACCAATTTTTTGTTGAAGTTGTTAATCTCGTCGATATTTTTTTGAATTCCAAAATGCCCCTTACGTTCATTATTTTTGTGATTTCATTTCATGAAAGAAATTTTTTTAAAATATTTTACATATATTCCGCCTATATATGGTATTGCATTTGTTCTTGATCCTCATTTCATATTTGATGGTTTGCTGCTTATCAAAATTGTATAGAGTATTATTATACTACGGATTTGTTTTTTTGTCTATTACTTATGTATGAAGATAGATCCATAGATCCAAATAAAAATACAACAAAGTTAGTAACTTATTTCATCAATTATTTAATGAATTTCATACACATTATGATAACGCACCCTCCCCCTCCGAAAACAAGTTCTTCATCTAAAAGAAATCATTTTTGCAAACCTACATTTGACAATCTTGTCAAAAAATAAAACAACTTCCGTTGTCCCACAAAACTCGATTAACGAGCTTTTTTTATAGCTAACATTTCCATTTGAGTATGAAGAAGAGAATAACTTTGACTATCTAAAATGATGGAAGGACAAGTAAGGAATGTTCTTAATTTTATAGAAGATGGCAAAGCAGCCAAGCAAGTGCTATCACACGGTATCAATAGTAGCCTTTGAACAAGAATTTAACAAAGTCGGCAACATACTCACAGATTATAGAACAAAATCAGCGCACAATCTCTTGAAACGCTCATTTGCTACCACGGTTGGTAGAAGGCCCAACATAGAATTCAAGAAGTTTGCATCACCCGACCACTAGCAAACATTCCGACTGATTTTTAGTAAAGGTATCTATGCTTTAAATTATTCTCAATTAGATTAAAAAAATCAAAACCTGACCCAACCCGACATAGGACCAGCAGGGTACGTGAACCACAACCAGACCAAACCGTGTCAGTACCCGGCCCCATTTAAATGGAACGAGTCCATGCCTAATCCTTATTGGTATCAGATACCTATCACATACAAATTTGGGATCTTAGGATGAAGGATCAATGGACCATGGGTATTGCATTGCGCAATTAGAAAGCATGGTAAAAATGTCACGGCATAGTAGAGCACAGACGGGCATTGAGATGATACACATTCAACAGAGAGAAATGATAACCATATATTTGACCAATAATAAATAGTCCAAATGCTAGAAAATCTTGGGAAGCAAAAACAAAACTAGCACATTCCACCATTGGTTCTGTATGCTTATCAAAACATAAATAAAAACAATAACAAAAGCAAAAATTAAGGGACAAAGCAGAGTTCAGCTAAACAACTCACTAAGTACGTAATAATAATAATACTCCGTAATAATTAAACCTTAATAGCATACTTTCTCAAAGGGAAATACATCTCTCTCTTCTTCTGTCTTTCTGTCTTTAAAGATGCCTGCGCATAGCCACAGTCAGAGGTTGGAGTTAATACCTCCTACATAGTATTGGCATGAAAAATACTACACACTAGGTCACCAAATGATTTTATCACCGTAATATTTTATCACCACAATACGAGTAGCTTTATAGAGTAATTGAGGATATAATAGTAACTTCAAATGAGGTGGCTATCTTGGGTGTTATAGTATAATGTTCCTAGAGCATTGAAACTATACCAGTACATTCTTATGAGTAATTCAGTAATTGTATACAATAATGAAAAAGTTTAATTGTTATATCAAATGAAGTGGATAGCCGGAGTGATAAATCTAGCATATTCCTCTAACATTCATTAGTCATACTGAAATAGTGATACTAAGAATAATACTCTGTATAAACTTTTTGGGGACACATAAAGTAATTTGTACAATTCATGTAGTGAATAACCATGTGCACAGGAAATTATTTACTTATCCAAGAGAGCAACTATTCTATATAACAGCAACAACCAAATATTATAGAACTATGTCATTGTTCATGAGGCATGGTCTATGAGGCCACAAGTGGTATGCGTCAAACTTGTATTTGTTGTTCAACTTGAAGTTGGATGACCTAAATCATGTTAGGTCCAAATATAAGTGTAACCTGAGTTTGATACATGTGATAGTGAAGTGTATGGTCCGGATGCAATTTCTGTAAATTATACAAAGACTGTTGTTTAAATTGTCTCCACAAGCACTGTTGTATAAACGGATCAAATTATTGAAAACTACATGTCAAGTAGAAGTGTCATTTAAACCAAACTTAATTTGAAGCTGATTTTTTGGAAAGTGGGATTCCAAGAGAAATGACTATTTCTAGAAAAAGTGGATGAAAAGTATCTAGCATTTGGATGACATAGTAGTATACTACCTATATAGGATAAAGTAGACATATTTGATAAACTACACAGAATAACAATATTATACGAGTATAAAATACGAAAAACAAGACAGAGTTCACTCTCTTTTTACATACAAGTGTTCAACAGACTACACCTTAATCTCTAAACTCTAATGATACAGTTCTTTGGAGTAAGAATGTAATTTGGCAACTACCTGGTGCTTAGTCAGGCGTCTGCGGATGGCTCTGGTCTTCTTAGGACGTAGATCAAGGGGCAAGTACTTCTTGTTCTTGTAAGCTGTCCTCAGTGCCGCTTTCTGCGTCTGGGAAATCACAGTCAACACTTGAGCAATTGACATCCTCACCACCTTACTGCACGGCATAATGTTATATTTTAACATCGATCAATGAGTAATAAAAAATAACATTTGCAGAATTTAGATAGAAAATCATTGTGCAAAAAGTAATTTACAAAATGATTTACATCTTGGAGAGCTTATTGGGGGCGCCACCGGTGACCTTGGCGACTCGGAGAGAAGCGAGCTCCGTCTTCAGATCTTTCAGCTGAGCCAAAAGCTCCGCCTTCGACTTCTGCCTCAGCTCATGTACCTTGATCCTCGCTGCAGATTTGATTGAAGGAATATAAACCAAGCTGATAAATCTTAATAATCAAGATAAGGTTGAGATGACGAACGCAGATAAGGTTCATACCCATTGCTCCCCCGGTCTCTCTCTTTTGCTCCGATTTCTCTGTGTTGTTAGGGCCTGCCTGATCAGGATGTAGAGAGTAGACGCGGCAGAAGTAGTAATAAACCCTAACAAAGTATTATGAACAGTTCACTGTCGAACATCAAGTTTCAGGCCCAACCCACTTAATGGCCTAATACTCCATATAACGGATACTAGTCAACCAACCTGTATACAATTGCTAGACGGATTTTTTTTGCTAATTTTTTTGTAAGAATTGGAATAAAAATGAAAAAGTTATGACACTTTAAAGAAAATTGGGGTTTTTACAACTTGAGCCCCACCGATGCATTTCTCTACGGCTGCTCCCTTCTATTCCCTTGGAGAGTTTGGTACTTTGAAGTAAAATTAGCCATGTAAGAGGATGTTCAGATGTGATTCCTAAAACTGCTTCTACTCATTCAGAGAGCAGAAGCACAAGTTAGAGTGCTTGAGTGAAAGTGCATAAGTACTTCTGGTGGTCTAATTTACTCCTAGAATAGAAGGTGGGGGAGACCGCCTTCTGAAAACTGATTCTAATTCTGTTTCTGCTTTAAAAAGAAGTAGAATCAGAATCGGTTCCAAATACCTCCTAACATTGCCATAGCAAATGAGTGAATTAAGAAGAGTTGAACACTTAGGATTCATTAAGGGTAAAATTGAATTTCAATGATCTATTTCTTTTCAAACAACTCAAACTTGAGCAGCTTCAATCGCCAACTCTGCACCGTCTTCAAGGTCTTGGGCAAGGTTGATTTTCCGGTGATGTTGATGTTAGATAAAGCGGAGGGCCGCGCTAAAAGGAATTCATTTCAAGTGTACAGTGGACGGAAAGTGATTGTGCGCCACGTTGAGTATGTTAATCTTTGCATTTATCTTCCTTTTTGAAAATTTCAACTCATTTTTCTTGATCCAAAAAAGGTGGAATCTCCCACCCCCGGAGCCCCCCACACCCCGACCCGATAGGGCACGTGGGAGGATGTAAATTATGGTGACTCAGTTGGCTAAGTAGCAGTAGGCCCATATGCCCCGTGTGTGCAAGATGTCCAAACCATTTCAGAGGCTGTGGCCTCCACCTGGTCGTTGCGGGGACTCGAACCAGGGTTCCTTGATCCAAATTCCCGCCACTCAACCAACTCAGCTATCTGTGCGGATTTCAACTCATTTTTCTCACACTACTACATATATTCAACATATGTTTGATTGAAGCTATCAGGTGTTAAAGCTTGGCGTGCCTCTCAAGTGATTTATCCCTATAACTATACCTATTACCCTAAATGGTAAATCCAATTGGTTTGTAGTTCTTTATGTGATGGTACCATTAGTATCTCTCTGAAGTATCAATTACCTTATCTAAGTATTTGAGTCACCAATCAACTTCTACTAGATGTGTAGTCTTCAAAAATTGAATTGAAAGGCAAACTTCAGAAAGTTAACCACATATTATTGATCACTTTATTTTGTAATTATCTCAATTTTGAAGTGGAAAACTGGAAATTGCCCAAATGCTCCGATCCCTAATGCATATGTCTCTTTGTTAGTCTCAGTACTTTTTGATTAATAGCTGAATAGAGTTTCAAAGGATCCACAATTTAATAGTTTTCCCCATTCATTATGAGATTTGGAGATGTGAAGAATTTTGGAAAGGAGAGGGAGATGTTACGTGTGAAAAAATTAGTCAATTAAGCTAAATTTCACAACTTAGCTTCCATTATTATTTTAATTTGTTTGTAGATCTTACGGGTTAGGCAGCTACAGGCTAAGTGCATTGTTAGAACATATTTTATTATGTTCAATTTAGTTGTATTTATATTTGTCTATTAGATTTTATTAGAATTGCATTAATGGGCCTTTTAATTTATTAGGAGTTATTTAATTGGATTAATCGGACTCATCATATTATAACTAGTATATTCGGTCATATGCCTATAAATAGAGCCAATCTGGCTGTGATGGATAAGTGTACCCGGGGGTATCTATCCGAGGGGTTATTGCGGGGGGAGAGTAGAGAGAAGTCAAAGCAAAAGTAAGAGAGAGAATATGTATTGTTGGGAAAGTATTGAGCGTACTGAGCCTGTATTACAAATGGGGAAAGGGGTGCTATTTATAGCAGCAATAAATGCCAGACAGGGACATGTGTCATCATTTTGGTGGTCGAGGGGTCACCTCAACGGGGTGGCACTGGCACCCGCATGTGGCCGCATTAAATGCGGTGGTTGGATGTGACGTTTGTACTTGGTACGTTGATCCAGCGCATGTGGGTGGGAGATTCTGTCGAGGAGAAGCCTTCGGCCGTAGATGATCAGCCGAAGGCTCTTCATCCCGGTGGCCTCTAGGTGCCGAGGGCTACTGTTTTCGCTGCTTTCTCCCAGACACTTTGAGTGCTTAAAAGAAACTGTACTGTAAGGTTATGAGCCTTCGGCCAGGGGGCCGAAGGCATCCCAGTGTTCGTCGTGGGTTGTTTGGCACTTGGGGCGTTGTGGTTTGGGCCTGCTATGCTTCCTGGGCCTATTGAGCCTTCGCTTTAGTAGTGGGAGTCTATGGGTCGGGGGTTCCTGGGCCATATACTCCATCAGGAGTCCCTCACTCCTTTTGCCGAAAGGTACTTGAGGAAAAAGGAGTAAAATGCGTTTGTCCTCTGATGTTGCCTTGCTGTAGTTTGTAAACCTGTGAGAGATTTTGCATTCGCACATGATTCTGCCGGGGGCAGCCCTTCATTCCCCCACATTTTGGGACTGAAGGGTGTTGATGCTATGCGAGAATAATTTTTTAGCATTTTTTTTTCCGGTTCCCGGAGGGGTTCTCCAGTCACCCACTCCTTGAGGCACATGTAATGTGGTGAAGAGGAGTAGAGTAGTGCCCGCTGTTATCATGTTGCCGAAGGCTGATGCTTTTCGTTTCATTTTGGGGGGATGCCTCTTTAAAAACCTCATTAGAAAAAACCCTGTGGGAAAAAATTCTAATGAGGAAAAAAGAGTGCACCGAGTTCCCCCAACGATGAATCGCAAAGGTGAAACCTTGGTTCGAAATGGATGACAGTATTGACGCCGAGGGCTATCTTTGTCTGAGGGCGTGTGCGTTGATTCGCCGAAGGCGCTTTGTTAATATCCCGGGGGATGCTGAAAGGGGAGTCCCTCAATCCATGGGATTGAGGGTGTGATGAATGTAAGTGGTAGTTGTTGTGTTGTCGGGGGGATTCTCTAGCTGTTGACAAGCTGGGGATGGGGTACCCGAGGGGTCCCATTGTTGTATGCCGAAGGCTAACACGTTGAGGGTTGAGGGGTCCCGAGGGGTTCTCCCGTTGTTAAGCCGTGGGCTCCTATAGGAGAAGGCCCGAAGGCACCTGTGATGTTGTATGAGGGGTACCGGTCGGGAGCACCTTTGTGTTTTCAAAATATAGTTGTTGCAATAAGACCGTTGGAATATGGAACATTTAAAATGTAGCCGTTGGAGAGGACTTCCACGTGGCGCGTGGTTGCTGGCTAGCTTCGGGCGGGTATCACCGGTTGGCGGAAGGGGGAGGCGTGTGATGATGACTTTCAATCGGGGGTCTGGTTTCTTGGCCCAAGCCCGGAGTGGGAGGTCTATAAACACCCCAAGGCCAAAGACATTCTTCTTGCGCGATCATACTGTAGCGAAGCTCTGCCGGATTTTTTCTAGAGAGAGAAATAACCCTTCGATCAAATCCTCACTTCGCAAGGTCAGATGCTCCTCCTGTTCTCGAGTTCCTTAGCGTATTTTCGCCCTTAGGCTGAGTGCTAGAGTTGTTTAGGGAGCCTTCGGTTTCTAGAACCCCTCATCCCCTAGTTCTTGAGGATGTCTTCACAAAGCGATTCTCAAAACATATCGAGGGAGCCATCGGTGGACGTTGAGGTCGAGTCTGAGGTGGAGTCTTCGAGCGAACACCTTTCGGCAAATAACGACCGGGCAGTAGCCGAGAAGATACAAGACAACCTTCGGCTCGAACTAGAGGCCGAAGACTTCGAACAAGTGATCGAGGACGAGGAGTTGGCCCTTGCCTACCAAGTGGCAGAGGAGGAAGCGCATAAGGAGATGATGAAGGTTACAGTTGCTGTCCTCCCCCCTCGCAATGCTGGTGAGGCAAGCAGCTCCAGGCTGTTAAACCCGACGCCTCTAAGAGTTGCCCCCGGGAAGAAGAAGAAGACAAAAGCTGGAGCGCCCAAGAAGAAGGGGAGCGTTGCCAACCTAGGGAAACCGGTTGACATGCCCGAAGGCTACTCCTTTCTGAATACCGCCGCCCTCGAAATAAGGTCAAAGGCTGACCACGCGGAATGCTACGTTACCCAACTGCATGTTGGGCCCTCGGCTACTGTGGTGCCACCGGGACCTGATGATGTTCTCTCCCGTGCCCCCGAGGGATGTATTGTTGTTCACATTCTGTCGGTGTCCATGGGCATTTGGTTTCCACTGCACCCGTTCCTTCGGGAATATCTTAGGTATGTAGGCCTGGTTCCTTGCCAACTAACGCCCAACAACCATTCGTATATCACTGGGTTTCTTCACCTCTGCAAATCCCGGGGGTGACACATAGCTTGGATCTGTTCTTCCAAAGCTTCAACCTTTGCCGGGGAGGCCATGCAAACACCGAGGGGTTCGTTAATTTGCAGCAGATCACTCAGTTCAGGCTATTCACCGAGGCGCCCTCCTCAAAGAAAGACTGGAAGGAGCGGTGGTGCTACGTTAGGCTGGACGAGAACCCTTTCCCGAGGGAGTTGCGGGACAGTTTTAGGTGCCATGAGAGGATAAGGAACGCCGCCCTCGAGAAATATGGCCTTGTACTCGCCAAGATCCTGGAAGGGCGGAACAAGAACGTAACCATCAAAGAATGTACCCTGGAGAGTGATCTATATGCCCTCGGCTTCCGGCGGTATCGTTTCCGAGAAAATAGATGAAAAGTACCCCCTCCTTGGTCGAGCCTTCGAGAGCGCAGGAGGTGATTACCGAGGGCCTTGAGTTTCGTACTTAGGAGATTTTTAGTACTTTTGATATTTGTCCATGCTTTCTACCCTTCGGGCTAATTCTTTATTGTTGCTTTGCAGGTGCTCGTATGGATGCAAACGCCCTCTTCGCTCTGAACAAGAAGAAGGGCAAGGCCCAAGCCAAGAAGAAGGACCCTTCGGGCCAGCAGCCTGTTGATGCCTTCTTCCAGAAGGAGATGACGGAGCCCTCTGCTGTTGCTGTCGTCGCTGATGTGGCTGGGGGCCACGAAGAAGAAGAGGATGGCAAGGGGGTCGAGCCCCCTGTCAAGAAGCAGAAAGTTGTCGGGGATGTTGCTGAGAAGGCGGCCCTCATGGTGATTATAGAGGATCGGTCCTCTGCTGAGCCCCCGGCTGCGATCGTACTGACGGCCCCTTCCAACGACCCTTCAGGGGAATTTCCTCGGGAGACCTTGCAGGTTCCCCTCGTCAAGGGGACTGCAGTGATGTATGGCACAATAGAGCCGAAGGCTTTTCTGGGGAGCATCACCTCGGACCTGGATAGGAAGGCCCTCGGGACCTACGATGACGAGGCCCTCGAGAACAAGATCCTCCGGTCTTCCCTCATCGTAAGTCTCTGTTCCTCATTTTTATTTTTCATTCACTTAGTACATCTTGGATGATAGCTTGACTCCCTTGTTCATTGCTTACAGGCCTGCATAGCCCTCGGCGAGCAAGCCCGGCGGCTGGAAGAATGGCGCCTCCAGAAGGCCCATAATGATGAGAAGCTGAAAAAGCTTATCCACGCGAACTCTGATGCCATAAAGCAGATGGCCCAACTGGAAGAGGACCTTCGGCAGGCGAAGGCGGAGACCGAGAGAGACAGAGCAGTGAGGGCTGAAGCTGAGAGGATTCACACTGAGGCCACTAAGAAAAACGTCGAGGAGGCGGAGAGGGCCAGGGCCGAAGCGGTGTCTGCTGCGGAGAGGTCAGCGGTCGAAAGCTTTGTCGCCGAGGGCTGGACTGCCGAGGAGAGGAAGGCTTGGCTTTCCTTGATGGTGGGGAGAAGTGTCGACGCCTGGGTCGAAGGCCCCGACAAGGACTGGTTGGCCGAGAGAGGTGATACTTACTATCAAGGGAGTGAGTTCTTCACCCAGCACTTAATTTACAGGAGGCTCGTTCACCACTTCAATGTCTCCCTCGATCAGTTTGACCCGGTGGTGTATGGTCTTCCCCCGTTGCAGCCTGATGTGAGAATCCCACTCCCCTCGGGCGAAGAGAGGCCGGTGATCGATGATTCAGTGATGATGGGCAGAGATGACGATGAGGTCACTGGGGATGATGCCACCTCCAAACCTGCCGAAGGGGCCATTGATGAAGCCGTCACCTCATGATTTGCACTTAGAAATATCTTCTAACAAACATTCGTATGCTTCCGGCTTCGGCCATGATTGCAAACAACTTTTTATTCCCTGTTGATGGATGAATGTCTGCCTTCGGGCCTTTTATATATAATTTGCTTTTCCCTTTGAATGTATGCCTTCGTCTTTTCTTTGTGAAATGAATGCCTTCGAATTTGCCTTGTGAATGAATGCCCTCATACTTTGATGTTTGAGTTGTCAGTCGTTTAGGACTTAGAAAAATTTTCTAAGTGTTGTTTCACCACTGAACCTTCGGTTGTGTGACCCCTCTGGCTGCATGGAGATTTGACCGAGAGCCAAATATTTAGGACATATTTTTTTTAAGTGTAGTTTCACCACTAAGCCTTCAGTTGTGTGGCCCCTCTGGCTGCATGGAGATTTGACCAAGGGTCAAATATTTAGGACTTAGAATTTTTTTCTAAGTGTAGTTTCACCACTGAGCCTTCGGTTGTGTGGCCCCTCTGGTTGCATGGAGATTTGACCGAGGGTCAAATATTTAGGACTTAGAAAATTTTTCTAAGTGTAGTTTCACCACTGAGCCTTCGGTTGTGTGACCCCTCTGGCTGCATGGAGATTCGACCGAGGGCCATCCATTTAGGACTTCGAAAATTTTCCAAGTGATGTGCATTGTGTGGCCCTCGGTTATTAGGTCCCCTGACTTGCATGATGATTTGACTGAGGGCCTAATATTTGGGACTTTAGAAAAAGCTCCCATGTGTCACTTGTAACTTGACCTTCGGTAAATGAGCCCTGTGAGTACTAGTCTCCGGTGTAGATTGTAGTGTCGGGGGTTGCTGGAACTTGGACTTAGGAAATTCAAGATCATGTGTGTGGGTGCTCGCTCTCGGCCATAGTGGGTTCCAAAGTGTGGACTTAGGAAAATTTTGGAAGACATTCATGTGGTAGTAAGGGTGGACGGAAAGTGGATGCCCTCGATATCCCTTAGGTCGTTGTTGCTTGGAGCTAGCAAATTTTCACCTTATCATAGGACCCAGCCTTCGGTATTGGATGGCGCCGGAGGCCGTCTGTAACACCCCGGCCCCACCGGACCCGAGGTAGTTAATCCGGACCAATAGTACTGTCCCCACAAACCACCACGAGCCTTTAACGCACACTTTGTCCTCACTCATGCGCGCCCTGAGAAACTTCCCAGGGGGTCACCCATCCCAAGACTACTCCCGTGCAAGCACGCTTAACTTTGGAGTTCTTGGGTGATGAGCTCCCTTACAAGATGATGCACCTCTGTTTGTATGAGTAGTACTATTAATCCGTTTATATTAAATCTCAAGTGTTACAATCACCCCCACTTAGGATCGCAACGTCCTCGTTGCGCCCTTAAACCAATCTCAATAAAACCCCAGAATCTTGCCCCGCTAAGTGCCCGCCCGATATCTAACGGGTCAACACACTATCGCAGGGTTGCTCTGATACCACCTGTAACACCCCGGCCCCACCGGACCCGAGGTAGTTACTCCGGACCAATAGTACTGTCCCCACAAACCACCACGAGCCTTTAACGCACACTTTGTCCTCACTCATGCGCGCCCTGAGAAACTTCCCAGGGGGTCACCCATCCCAAGACTACTCCCGTGCAAGCACGCTTAACTTTGGAGTTCTTGGGTGATGAGCTCCCTTAAAAGGAGATGCACCTCTGTTTGTATGAGTAGTACTATTAATCCGTTTATATTAAATCTCAAGTGTTACACCTGTAACACCCCGGCCCCACCGGACCCGAGGTAGTTACTCCGGACCAATAGTACTGTCCCCACAAACCACCACGAGCCTTTAACGCACACTTTGTCCTCACTCATGCGCGCCCTGAGAAACTTCCCAGGGGGTCACCCATCCCAAGACTACTCCCGTGCAAGCACGCTTAACTTTGGAGTTCTTGGGTGATGAGCTCCCTTAAAAGGAGATGCACCTCTGTTGGTATGAGTAGTACTATTAATCCGTTTATATTAAATCTCAAGTGTTACAATCACCCCCACTTAGGATCGCAACGTCCTCGTTGCGCCCTTAAACCAATCTCAATAAAACCCCAGAATCTTGCCTCGCTAAGTGCCCGCCCGATATCTAACGGGTCAACACACTGTCGCAGGGTTGCTCTGATACCACCTGTAACACCCCGGCCCCACCGGACCCGAGGTAGTTACTCCGGACCAATAGTACTGTCCCCACAAACCACCACGAGCCTTTAACGCACACTTTGTCCTCACTCATGCGCGCCCTGAGAAACTTCCCAGGGGGTCACCCATCCCAAGACTACTCCCGTGCAAGCACGCTTAACTTTGGAGTTCTTGGGTGATGAGCTCCCTTAAAAGGAGATGCACCTCTGTTGGTATGAGTAGTACTATTAATCCGTTTATATTAAATCTCAAGTGTTACACCGTCGGTGTTGGACCTGATCGATATTTGACAACATTTGTTGGATGATAGCCTCGGTATGATCTGTGTTGTCTTGCGATGCCGAAGGGCTTCCTGTTGTGATTTGTTGAAGTTGTGTACTCACTGATTTCTCGTTGATTCTACTCTTCTTCACCCCACTTTTTTTTGGGGTAGTGAAGGGAAGGCTTCAAGAAACTTGGTTTCTTGGTAAGGCTTGGCCTATCGGGAGGCAACAACATACACCATTAGCTCCCCCCTCGGGTTAACCTTCCGAGTTCCGAGGGGATCGAGGGTCGTTTCCTGGGCACGATACATAGTCTGTTTCCTGCCTCCCCTTGGGGGATGGCACGGAAAGCGCCTCAGTTTTGAAAGTCGTTCCCTCAGCACGAGACGTAGTCTTTGGCCTGCCATACCCTTGGGGTAATGGCGCGGGAAGCATTTCGTTTTTGAAAGTCGAATTCTGGGCATATTAGTTGCCTGCCACACCGTTGGGGTAGTGGCGCGGAAAGCGTTTCATTTTTGAAAGTCGAATCTTGGGCATATTAGTTGTCTGTCATACCCTTGGGGTAATGGCGCGGAAAGCGTTTCAGGGAAGGGTTTTTCATTTGCACACTGTTTGCAAATGGCCGGGGGCACTACGTGCTGTCGGCACCGATAGGTGGTGCCTTCGGTATAAATGCATCCTCGAGGGGTACGGCTTCGGAAACAACACTTAGTGCTTGTTTTAGCATACGGCCCCTGGTACTTGGTACCGAGGGGTCTTCAAAGGGAAACACTTGGTGTTTTCCGCTGTCTGGAGTTGATAGGAGTGCATACCCTCGACACGTGGTACCGAGGGGTCTTCTTAAAAACACTTGGTGTTTCCTTCATTTGTCGTAGGTGATTGGAGTGTCTACCCTCGGCACTTGGTGCCGAAGGGTCTTGCTTGTGACAAGGCCTTGGGCCAGGAATCTGCATGAGGGCTTGGCCACTCACATGTGTCTTTGTTTCTTATTTATGGTGTCTTCAATATGTCTTCAAATTTGAAAGCCTTGGGCCGTAGGATAATACATTCATTAGTTATGAGGGCTTGCCCGCTCTAATATTACTGATAAAATTTAACTAGGTGATGTACATTCCGATGTCTAGGGACCTCTGTCCCATTGGGGCGTTTGAGTTTGCAAGTCCCAGGTTTGATGATGGCTGTTACGGCGTAGGGGCCCTCAAGTTTAGGTGCCATCTTGCCGCCCTCAGTTGGTTGGCTAGCTTCCCTTTGTCTGAGGACATAATCCCCCACTTGGAATTGTCGAGAGCGGACCTTGGCGTTGATGTAGCTCTTGATTTGCCTTCAGTAGTTTTCCGCTCGTATGAAGGCTTGCTCTCGGCGTTCTGAGATGAGGTGAAGGTCGAGGGTCATGTTGGCGTCGTTGACTTCGGGATCATATTGGGCTACCCTTCGGGTAGGAAGGGTCACTTCAGTGGGAGCTTTAGCCTCAAATCCATAGCACAGGGAGAAAGGTGTTTCACCTGTTGCCCGCCGAGGGGTGGTGCGATAAACCCATAGGATATTGTGGAGTTCTTCTACCCAGCCTCCCCCTTCGGCCTCCAGCTTCTTTTTTAGGCCCTCAAGTAATGTCCGGTTGGCATTCTCCACTTGACCGTTGCCTTGAGGGTAAGCAACGGATGAGAAGGTGTGCTTGATGCCCCATGTCTCTAGGAGGGCACAGAAGGGGGCTGCCTCAAATTGGGTTCCGTTGTCGGAGATGATTTGTTGGGGGACGCTAAACCTTGTGAGAATGTTCTTTAGGACAAAGTGGCGGCACCTGGCCTCAGTAATGCTGGCGAGGGGCTCAGCCTCCACCCACTTGGTGAAGTAGTCAATGGCAACGATGATGTACCTGTTGTTGGAGGTACCCCTCGGCAGAGGGCCCACAAGGTCTATGCCCCATCTAGCGAAGGGTATAGATGTGTGACGTGCACTTGTCGTGAGGTGCACTCAAAATAAATACAACACAACGAATATACGTTGTATAACGAAGTAAGGTTCATATCCACAGGGAAAAGAATACTTTTCTTTTATATAATGAGTAACAAAAGGGGTTTTTGAGTTTGATTTAATTAACACTAAGATGAACGACTTATGTGGTTTAATTAATAGAGATGAGGACTTGGTTTTGCTTTTATCCACTTAATGAAATGTTTGTCGATCCCGGTTATATCTTTAACTATCTTCCTCTCGAATACTCAATCGAGGAGTATATCCAGTTCATCGAGGGTAGTTATTAATAACGAGATGCGTTCATTAATAAAACTTACTATCGATTCAATATAGAACAAGCGCCGTATATTAACTTGATAGTAACAATAAACTTAAGATGAAAACGATTGAGAATGATAATCTCAACACAAGCGGTTTATTGGTTTAATCAATATAATTAATTCCTCTTGACACATAACCATGAGATGCATGCATTAATAATCCAAGTTTACTACTCTTGAAAGAACCGGATTAATAACAAGTGTATTAACCGATTGATTCTAGTAATAATTAATATGAGAAACAAAACTAGTTGATACTTTAAGTAATGTTCAAAATATTAACATGAAATATGAATAGGAATTAATTAATACTCAAGGAAGAATATTAAAGAATATGAATCCTACTATAATTAATATCAAGATGTTAACTAATTGTCATCTTAGTAACACTCCCCAATATTAACATAGAGGAAGAAATAACTA